GTCTTACGAAACTCGACGCTACGAAATGATTTTATGCCAATATAGATGCATGCCTGACATTAAATTTGCGGTTTTTCGAATTCTCTTAAATTTTGTTGACTAATCTCATTGTCAGTGAAATTATAATGGTTCCCGGAGCTTTACGCTGATTTGTTTGAGTTGGGGGATCGTTGGCGGTTTTGCTTCTGCTCTTCGTATGCCGTGAATTACGAATGTGGAAGCTGCTCAGCTTATTTAGAGTTTACTTTATTAAATTGAGCTGTCGAGCCTCAGCGAATCGGCGAACTGTAGCTAATCCACAAGAATATAAATTATTTATGGATGTATTTACTTTGCAGTTGTAAATATTGAAGAGTCTGAGCAATTTGATTTCTCGATAAGCCATAAACTGCCTATATCATCTGTGCAAGACTGTCGCGAGGCCAATTTCAGTTTAGTTCACGCAATAGAAATTCAACTCGAGAATTCATCAATTATCGATAAGGTGACCGAGAAGATAACGAACGGCGACTGAAAATAGGCTACTTTTTTCCGAAAGCCGACCGTAGTCGACAGGCAATGGTCTAAAATAACTAAAAGCCCCCCACGAAAAGCCCCCCCCCCCAATCCCTCCCTCCCCCGCCACCGCCCCCGCTCACAACCGTAATGTAAATAAACTCACGTGGCAAAAAAGCGTAAATTCTTGGGAGGTTGGAGGAGCGATCGAAGCCCTTTCTAAAATTCTCGCGAAAAATCCATTCGTCACTATGACCCGAGTCGCGTAAATTTTCAGTCTCGACCGCTGGAGCCCGAGGCTTTCCGCTCGATCGACCAGGACTCTATTGTTGTCCGGCCCCTATTTTCGTTAAATGAGCCACGAAAATAAAAGGCAAGTGCGCTGCTCGCGATCGTATCTCGCGATGATTGGCGACAATTTTCCATTACTATGTATCGGCGGCGATCTCCCGGCGTCGCGGCCACGCCCGACGCTTGATTAAGCAATTCCGCGGCTTATCGCGAGGCTCCTCGCCACTGGGGCGGCTACGAGGAACGACTTATCCATCAGCGGCACGACATCGGCAGCTGGCGTGTAGAACGCAAGGAGGACGTCGCCGCGGCCAATCGCCCGTGCGATGAACACGTCAGGAGCACTCGCCTCGCCGGGGGCCGCGCGAATATTCTTCCTCGCTATCGGTTTCGTGCTCGAGGAAGCGGTCACGGGATGCGTGCCTAAGATCCTTCACGTACGACTTGGCGCGGAAACGACTAAATTGAAAACGTTATTTCCTCATTGGATGGCATTAAAGATACAGGAGGTGACGGAAAATAGGCGAAATGTCTCTACGACTACGTGATATTTTCAACTATGTATTAAGCTTATAAACTCAATTGCGAGCGTGTATGTTTAAAGATTTTTCATGGAATACACGCTCTACTATACAGTCCTCGACGTCCCTCGCGGCACTTTTATTCCGCTATTTCAAATAATAAATGTATCATGGAGTTTTAATGGTGTCGTTTGATTTTCAGTAGTGTCGTATTATTTTTAAGCACCTCTTATGTCAGCTCGTATAAAGCACAATAAAGAACATTAGCGGACGAAATGGTGCGTCCGTATATGTTTACAGGCACGATTGTGAAATCGTTTTCCTCCACTTGTTTTTACCAAAATTTCACCTACACTCTATGCGTTTTATGGAAAGTCAACGCGTATGTATGCAAGGCTTTTAGGTATCTCGTAAATTCAGGCACCCCACAGTCTCCGCAATGTCCTAGAGTAAATTGCGGAATTGTACTGAAGCGATTAGTGTCACGCTATCTTTAGACTTTTGAGTGATTTTATTATGTACCGTTGAACTCCTCCTGCTTTAATACTTTAGCTACTGGTTTACGTGGCGAGCAATCGAAAATTACAAAGAACGCGTACTAACTTCAAAATTACCATTTGGCTCGTTAGGAATGTACATTGGCTACTGGTATAACGCCTTACGTCACGCGTTCGACGTTTACATATCTTATGACTTTCGTAAAGAGACACGCAAAACAAAAAACAAAAAAAAAAACAAAAAAAAAAAAACAAAAAATAGAAAAAAAAAACAACAACGAAAAAAAAGAAAAAAAAAAATTTAACAAAAACTACGTTAAGCCTGTATCAAAGAAAAATGTATCAAAGAGTAAGTAAAGAGATGTAATTTTCATTCGCTAGAAATAATCTTTTGAAAAATAAAAATCTTTAAATGTAGTTTAACATAAAAGATCTTCTGTGAATATAAAGAGTACTATTAAGGAGGTTATAATGCACGACGTTGGGAACATTGGCAAGAAATGAGAAGCCTTGTGTCAATTTTCTTCTCCTTCTTTACCTTTTATTTAAGCAAGTCGTTAACGAAGAAAAATTTCATTATTTTAAATTTCCTTATTTCACTTGAGAAAACAAAAAGAAAGAATTTTTTGTTTCTTACAGACATATTATTTATTCCAATTAATAGTGACCGTTAAAGTAATGGCAAAAATATACTGACATAATAATGCAAAATTTCATAAAATTGTTAACATTCAGTATGTAATTGATTTTTTACGTCATACGACATAGTTCTTTCGTTCGAGTCTTACGAATTTTGTTTAAAACTATTAAGAAAGTGGCCAATCGATAAGGCAATACAAAGTGCGGTACATTATCGAAAATAAATACAACTAAGTACAAGTTTTAGCGACGCGATTCAGCATAAGAAAATGCAAATATAAAAATTTAGCAAATACTGTAATACGCTAATCGAGCGATTATAAACGATAACTAAATATCGAGAATAAATAAATTTCCATTCTTTCCTATAAATATATTTTCATTCTTTCATATATATATATATATATATATATATATATATATATATATATATATATATATATATATAATATCCAATAAATTTTTTCATAAGCTCTCGAGCAATTGCTCTTTTACGATTTCAAAATGTTCAAATTATCATTTATCAAAAGTATTAGCTCTCATTTTTCAAATTTTAGTTTTTGTTTCTTCGCTTCCCAAAGCTCCCGTTCGCTTAATAATTTATTTTTTCAAATTATCTCCCCACCCTGTCGATCGTTTCTCGGAGTCAGAGTTGCGCGAGACGTGACCAGACCCGCAGTGCGATGTGCAGAGGATAACTCGGTTTGCGCCTCTCCCATGTGCTTCATGCGTGTACACATCTGTATGTGTGCTGATAGAAGCGAGTACTTTCGGACTGATTGACGCGTGCGTACAGAGAGGACAATGAAGGAGAGCCCTCCGTCTTCTCGTTCCACCCCGACGTTCTTTGCAATACTCGTAAGGTTTTCTTCATTCGACTCGTGGGCTTTTTTTTTCTCCGCGTGACTTTGACAAAAACTTTTTCCATCCTGTCTACCTTGAAGTTCTTGACTTGCCTAACGTAACTTCGTTACGTTTAGTTTGGGGTTGGTGCCATGATATTTATGTGATTTTAATGAATTTTTTTATATTATTATTGTAATTTCACGTGTACTTTTGTTCTCATCTGCGTTTCTAATGTCACTTTAAAAATCGTTTCATGGCAAAAAGCATTTACTGCAATATCTTACAAATACTTTAATTGAGAAAGTAAAACGATGAAATACTCGTGAAACTAACTTTTTTTTTTTTTGGTTTTTTTTTTGGTTTTTTTTTTGGTTTTTTTTTTGAACGTATTATATAGAAAATCGGTGTATATTTTGATGGGTTTATTAATCTGTAAAATTGAAAAGAAATAATCTTCAACTAAACTAACACGTAGATGAGCATTTATGCATAATATTGGATAAGGTATTATATATTTAATGATTTCAATAAGTGGCCAATTATTATTAAAGTAAAATGTTCAAAATGAAATATTGTAAAATAGTTGTAATCTTATGGCATACAATAGTTTGGCTAATAAGGTAAATTTTTCTTTTTTTTTCTTCTTCTTTTTCGTTTTGCTTTATTAATTAAACATTTTCCACATAAATGTCATATTTCATAGATAAGTAATTTTTTATTTTCACAACAATGGCTTACAAATTATTTTGTAAATTTATGAATATTTTTCACGTTCCAGTGATATTCAGTTTAAATTACCACTTGGAAAAATTAAAAACCTACATAAATCATATGCACGCTCATCAACGAATTACCAATGTAAATATGGCTAATTTCAATGTTATATATATATATTTTATGTACACTGCAGCCTTAAGCAGTTGTATCAATTGTTTAACATAATAATATAGCAAATTGATTAATGAATTATATTATAATGGCAATATTAATTATCACACAATAGATAATTTCGAGACAATCTTCTATCACATAACCACAATTATTTTAGTTAAAATTATTTCTATTCAGTCGTATTTAAAATACAAGTTTCAAATCAAAATCAAACTTTTAATGGAAATGAAATTTAAATCATTTTTCATGCTATACTCTGTTAGATATTTAAATGATCAGTTGAAGTATTTTGATAATCTGATTACATTATTGAGTAAATAATTGTAATTAATCAATATGTACTTTCATCTATTACGTTTTAGTTTCTATTATACAACGAATATTTTATAACATCATCTAAATTTAATATTTACTTAAAAAAAAAAAAAAAAATTTTTATTTAATTTCATCAATTATTCAATAGCACAAAGATTAAAAAAAAAAATTCAAATTAAGAATGTAAAAATTCAAATAATAGCGAGCTTCGACTTTTCCAACAGTCTATATCTATGCGTGAAATATATTTTATAGCATCGAGGCAAAATCGTGAAATATCCATTGCACGTAAAGCGCTTAGTTAGTGTATCGACGGTGTAGCTTTAAAGGAGCGATGTACCATGTAGACGCAACATTAAAGAAATCTCATAATTGAAACAGTAAATTTTAAATTTTCGAGAAATCATAATGATGATGGAAGATATAAAGGGTTGCGCAGCAGCCTTATTAATGACCACGTTTACTGAAATCGATGAATAATATATAATTCATGAAGAAAACTGACCTTTGACAGATTTATTGGGCGGTGGTGTGTCGCGGCTCCAGGGGGGATCGCCGTGACCCGAGAAGTCGCGTAATTTGAGGTAGGATATGGTCAGCCTTATAATCGAGGCTTTGTCCAGTTGTGAAGTTATGGCGGCCGGTAGGGGCAGCATTTTCGCCAGCTCATAGAACTCGAAGTTCTCCTTGCCCCGGCGCGATCTCGCCGCATCTCTGCTTTTCTCCTTCCGCAGCTCGAGGATACTGCAAGGGGGAGGCAATCCTCACGATTATTACATTGCAACATTTCAAGTCATTTATTAATTATTATATTATTATGCCGTAATTTGATGAATGCTCGGCAATTACTTTTCTTTCTGTCTTAGTCGTGAATTTTCTAATTTCGAGATTTCGAGTTGTCGTTAAATTGTCATTGTGACATGCATGCTCGATATACGTGGAAT